AGATATATATATATATATATATATATATATATATATATATATTAATAAAATATATGGGAGAAACTAGTTGATAAAGATAAGAATTATAAATTACAAGTAACATATAATAAACTTAATCTAAATTTGAAATATGATAGTTTACCTTTATTTGTTAAGATACTAACGACGTGATCATATTTATTGACAACTACAAGAATATAAATAAATTTCAATCATGTTATTTTATTATTACTCCCCCTCAAGTTGGAGAGTAGGGTTAATAACTTCTAACTTAGATAAAAGATCATGAAACAATTTCTGACCCGTTGCTTTTGTAAACAAATTTGTTAGTTGTTATTTTATGTGCAAATAGCTTGTTGGAATGGTTTGATGCTTCAAGTGCTCCCGAATAAAATGATAATCAACTTCAATTAATATGTTTCTTCCATTCATGAAAAATTGGATTTGCTACTATATGAAGTGTTGATTGACCATCACAAAATAATTGAGTAGGTCCTAAACAAGAGACTTGTTGAGTAAGCAATAAGTCTTGTAACCAAATAACTTCATTTGATGCATGAGCCATTGCTCGATACTCTGCTTCACAAGAAGAGTGTGTCACCATATTTTATTTTTTTATTTTCCATGACACTAGTAAGGATCCTAACTTCATCAAATAACATGAAATAGACCGCCTAGTGTTGGGAAAAGAAACCCAATCAAAATCCCAATATCCCACACGCACTAGTGCAGAATATAGATTTTTCGTCGGTCATTTTAGGGGGTTTTACGTCGGAAAACGTTGCGACGTAGAAGCGGGAGACGTAAATTTTACGTCGGGGGCACGAAAATTGACGTAAATTTACGTCGGACACTAGAAGGTCCGACGTAAAAAGTTGTAAAAAATTTAAATAAAAAAAATGACTGCAAGCAGAATGGGCCGTTCTGGTTGGAGAACGACCCGTTCTGCAAGGAGACGGCCCGTTCTCCAACCAGAACGGCCCGTTCTCCAACCTGGACTTGGCCACTTCCTTCTCCAGCTTCAAAAACTCAGAATGCACAAAGAAAGTAGTAAATAGAAGAAGATGGGTTACCTTAAAGACCCTCACGAGGACAAATGCAACCTTAAACATGAAAAAATCCATTTTTTTCAGTGAGAAAACATTGTGTCAAGTGAAGAAAACGAAGAAATAGGAAATGGGTACCTTGTTGTGAAGAAAAGTGAAGAAAACGAAGAAGAGAGCAAGATGTAGATCAACGAAGAGCCACGATTTGAGAAGGAAGTGGGAGATGAGTTTGGGTTTAAAATTTTGAATTCTCCATATGCGTGAACGATCCTTTTAGAGTGTAGAAGCCGCGCGGGAATATGAGGCTAATTTACGTCGGCCTGGTGGGGATCCGACGTAAATTAGCAATTCTACGTCGGCTTGTATACTGCTCTGACGTAGAATTGCTAATTTAATTACGTCGGACCCCCACCAGGCCGACGTAAATTAGTTCTCTTTATTTACCATTCTGCCACCGCATTTTTATAACGTCGGTATTGACCTATTCTGACGTAATTTAGGTGACGTAAAAGGCTCTTTTTGCACTAGTGACGTTTCAAATCATTGTCCTTTAAAAATGAGAAAAATTGCTCAAGGAATGATTTTAGGTACCAAAGTACACACATGGCCACCGCCCAATGTGCTTGATGTGGCACTTGCATAAATTGGTTGAGCACATGAATAAAATAACTAATTTCTAGTCGGGTAATTGTAAGGTAGATTAATATACCAAGGAGTCGCTTTTATTGTTGTGGGCTAGAGTACATGTTTCCTGTGTCACTCAACAAATTGTGGTGTTACTCCATAGGAAAAGCATTGGGCCTCCAGTCAAGCATTCCACATTCTTTTAAAATATTCAATGTATATTTTTGTTGAGAAAGAAATAAGCCATTGGCTCCATGAGAAAGTTCAAGGCTAAGGAAGTATTTAAGCTTCCCAAGATAAGTCTTGAAACTGTCACAAGCAATTTAGTAAAATCAATTATGTATTTTTTTAGATGAAATTAGTAAAATTAAATAATGTAACCAACCTTTTTAATTAGCATGAATTGAGATTCTTTTTGCTTTGGTCTCTAAGAACACAACATAAAAGTGATGATATCAAATGTACCACAATCAAGCATGCACCAAAATAACAACAAAAAATATAATAAACCAAAATCTTATCAAATTTAGAATAAGACTTAACCTTTACATATATATTAATCAACTATAATATATATATATATATATATATATATATATATATATATATATTATCCGTACATATAATTTAAGATTCAATATATAATCATTATACATTAATAATGTAAGCTTCGTATTCAATCTCAAATGGAAAACTAAGACACAATCTCCAAAGATATAAGAGAGGGTGAGTGTTAAGACGAATATGAGCGCCAATACACATTTGGGATTGTCTTTAGAAAACCTTTGTATGGTATGTGTTGTTTCACCCGATGACATAGAAAAATATTTATATCCAGTATATTATCACTCATTATAAAAATATTAGGATCAATTTCAATATTAATTTAACCTAACACATTTTATGTGATGTATTCACTCACTCAACATAAAAATAAAACTTTTACATATGTCAAGTAAAATTATACTTATTATAAAACAAATATCCCACTTACAATTTTATTGCTATGTCACTTTTTTATAATATGTTGATTTGACCTAAAATAAAATTATTGTTCTAACCAGCTCTTTTACACTAGTGAGTACTTTTTTTATTTAAAATTAAGGTTTTATTTTTAATCACTCATCCTATTTTCTTGATTTCAAATTTCATGAAAATTATGAAATAGTGTTATTACGAATGACATCATCCTGTTTTCTCTTTCCAGCGCATTAGCTAATGGGAATAATCAAATTAATGTTATTATTTTTAATTAATGTAAAAAAAAATTTTATTATATATTTGACCATATTTAGTACTCACCATGTTTTCCACTTTCCAGCGCACTAGCCAATGGGAATGATAATGTTTTCCGTGCACTAACCTAAAACCTCATGCATACCTACTACCATCCACTTTTATAAATTTCAAAGAATAATATTTTTTATTCATTAAATACATTTTTTGAATGAAAAAAAGTAAAATAAAAAACAGAGCATATGATTATTTATTTATTATTACAAGGCTTATAAAGACTAGAGAAAATATTTTAAAATAAAATATTATTTGCTATACTCGCGGAAAGAGAAGTATATATATTTTGAGGTCCAGGGAAGAATGATTAAGCATTAAAGTGTTTCTCTACATAATGATTAAAGTGATTAAGGAAGAATGAAATTAACTTCCAAAAAATAATAATAGTGGGGAAGAAATACAGAAATTGGCTTGAAAGATTGGAAAACAAAAGAAATGGTTGTCTGTTTATAAGCAAAAGCTGTGTGTCAACATTCATGAAGCACATTTCCGGAAGAGAAAATGAGAAGGTTTAGGAGAAAAAGAGAGAGAGAGGGTGCCCTATATATGCAAGGCATTCTATCTGATAATAAATTCTCAAAACCACTGGAAAAGAATGGGAAGCTCCATTTTTGGCCATAAGCTTATCCTTTCATCTTTTTTTCTTTTCATTTTCCTTTTGGGAGCTGTTCATGGCAGCAAAAAGGCAAGCTTGTTGCTCATTTATTTATGAGTTTCTATGATGAAATTATGATGATGATTTGTTTGTGATGTTGCTGAATTTGCCATCATCATGTGGATCTCACATTTCACCTATTAATCGTTGGATTAGTTTTGTTTACAGTGTTACATTGTATACTTGGGAGCTCATTCTCACGGTCCCAGCCCTACGTCTCTTGACCTCCAAATTGCTACGCATTCTCATCACAATTTACTAGCTTCAATCTTCTCAAGGTATAAACATCATGATTTAATTTTTGTTTTTCTTATTAAGAAAATGATAAAAGCACTGGTTAATGAATAAAAGTAAAATAAATATAAAAAAAATGATTGCAAAATGTATTTAAATAGTCTTCTGTGTGATAAAGACACATGTTAACAAGACCTTTATTATTGTGTCTAAACATTTTTCATTAGTTATTGTAATTTAATTTTACATGTTAATTTTTCATATCCCGCTTATATATTACTATTAAAGAGATCATTGGAAGATTGACTCTTTTAAGAAATTATTTCATTTAATTTAATCAATTATATTCTTAAAGTTTAAATGATTAGATAAGATAAATAAATAAATTTATATTATATTTCCAACTTGTAGTTGTCCTTCTCACGTAGCATTTTAAATTTGAAGCATGTAAACATCATAGGTATACAGTATACTTATTTTGTGATGTGAAATTAAATTTCCTTTTAATTAGTGCACGAGAATCACACAATTAATTAAGTCTATTTATTCTTATTAGTTATGACTTAAAATCGAATCTGACTTTTCATATGATCCATAATTTTATAATTAGAAATTTTCAAAGAAATTAGTAGTTAATAGGTTATGACTTTACATCGTATCTTATGATAACTTAACTATTGTAAAAAAATAATAATAATAATAATAATAATAAAAACTTCTTTATTATAACTAAATTATTTTTACGAAAAAAAAGGGAGGATGTTAACGAGTGAACCTAAAACCACTTAATTAGTTGTACTTATATGCTTTGATATTAATTATGTTACGAACTACTATTAACTATCTCAAAAAGTTTAAGTCTACTAGATACAGAAACAAATAAATTTAGGGTGAATTATACATCACATCTAATTCTTTAACAGTGAGGAGAAAGCGAAAGAAGCAATTATTTACTCATATAATAGACACATCAATGGGTTTGCTGCGCTACTTGAGGAGGAAGAAGCTGCTGATATTGCAAGTGAGCATGTTTCAATTGCCGAACCTCACCACTAATTAATCACCAGTCAATTTCAATTTAATTCGTTTCAAATTAATGGATTACACAATTAATTAATGTTTGGTATGGTGCAGAAAACCCAAATGTAGTATCTGTGTTCTTGAGCAAACAACATAAATTGCACACTACCCGGTCATGGGAATTTCTTGGAGTGCACAAAAATGGGAAAAACTCTGCTTGGCAAAAGGGAAGATTTGGTGAAAATGCAATAATTGCTAACATAGACACAGGTGAATTTTGCTTTATTTTGGAAAATGCTAACGAATTTTCCTTTCATGATAAATGTCGATCTACATTATTTTACACGGATTCAAAAGAATTAATACTTTATAAATAACTTATTCACTAAGATTAAAAGAAGTCATTTTTTTTAATGTTAAAATCAATAAATATATCTCAAATTTTTACTTCTTCCTAAAACTATCTCTAAATTAATGAAACACTTAATATATGTTTCGAAAGTTTTTTTTTTTATTTTTTATTTCAAGAGCATAAATAAAAGACTATTTGTGGTTTAAGTGACATATATTAAATGAGTTTTACTTATTTGCATGAATTAAAAAAATCAATAAGGGTATTTTTGTAAAGTAAAAAATAATGATTGAGACAGCATATATTGGATCTTCTGAAAAGTATCATACTAATTTGATAATTGGGTTCCTATAATAAAGACTCAAGAAAGAAAATAGATAAAAGCAAATAGTGATTTTGTAATTTTAATCTTATAATTAATTATTTTTTTCTAGAAACAATGCAATATTATAACTACTTTCTACATAATATTATTAGTAGTATAAATGAAAAAAAAATAATTAATATATACTACATTGAAAAGTTAATATAACATTTTTTTTAAGATAATTTTTTTTATTGAATTGACGTTACCATGTCTTTTTAATTAGAAAGGCAAAGGATACATTATACTCTAGGTGTTGTAAATTATAATACTTATCTGCGATTTTGATATCTAATTTTTAAAATCTTAATTTTAGTCTCTGAATTTTTTAAAATTTATAATTTTAATATAACCTTTAAAACTATAACATTGACAATGATATAATATTATTGATCTAATATTAAGTAAATCACGTGATAATTAATATTAAAATGAATTAAATTTTTTTATCAAATTTTCATCTCAAGAGAGTAAAAATAAGTGGAAAAGATCAATTTAGTCTGAATCTAAAAAAAAATCCGTAGTATCCTTTAATCCTGATTTGGCCCTTGAAAGGTGTTTGGCCTGAATCCGAGAGCTTCAGTGATGAAGGATTTGGCCCCGTCCCTTCAAAATGGCGCGGGGCTAATGTTTGTCAAATTAACAAACTTCCCGGCTCAAGGAAAATTCCATGCAACAGGTTATTCTCCTCTTCTACCTTATTCAAATTAGAGTTTGCTATAAATTAAGAGTATTTGCGTCGCTAACATCTATTTCTTTCTCTTTTACATTTAACACAATTAAATTATAAAAAAAAAAAATTACACTTTTTATCATTCATATTTAATTATTTTACAAATTTTATTACCCAACTTTCAAAATTTTGCATTTATAACTTAATTTTCAAAATTTCATACTTTTTGTTACCCTGTTAATTATTCATTTGATATAATTAATTGACCACTCATGTGAAATGTTGAGGTGCATATTAGTTAGTTAGTGATGTGTCATGATAATTTCTAACATGACACATAATTAATGCTAAATCATCACCCATGTACCACATCAACAATCGATGCCATCGCCGCTATTGTATGTTACATCAACCTTGTATGACGCTAACACGATTGAAGATTCATTTACCTATGAAATAGGAAGCTGATTGGAGCAAGATTCTTTAACAAAGCTTTTGAGGCATATAATGGCCAACTTGATCCATTGCTACATACGGCGCGTGACTTTGTGGGGCATGGTACCCATACTCTATCAACTGCTGCAGGCAACTTTGTTGAAGGTGCAAGTGTTTTTGCAGTTGGCAATGGCACTGCAAAGGGAGGGTCCCCAAGGGCTCGAGTTGCAGCTTATAAAGTGTGTTGGTCTCTAACCGATTCAGCCAATTGTTATGGTGCGGATGTGTTAGCTGCTATTGACCAAGCCATAGACGATGGTGTTGATATCATCAATCTTTCGGCTGGTGGCAGTCACGTTGTCACTCCCGAAGGAATATTCACAGATGAGGTTTCCATTGGGGCATTCCATGCAATTGCTAGAAACATACTTTTAGTTGCCTCTGCAGGGAATGATGGACCAACTCCAGGATCTGTTGTCAATGTGGCTCCTTGGGTCTTCACAATTGCTGCTAGCACAATAGACAGAGATTTTACTAGTACTTTAACCATTGCTAATGGTAACAACAATCAACAAACCACGGTATCATTCATCTTCTATTTCATAAGTGTTTAGTTTAAGTCTTTAACAAAAACTAATTTTAAATTATTTAAATTCTTTATTATAAGCTAAATTATGAAAATACCACCTACATCTCTAAATTTTTGAAATTTATTTTCTTTTTTCTTTTCACTTTTTCCTTTTGTTTTTCTTTTTCTTTTGACATCTAAACGTAAGCTTATTGTTGTATATGCATTTCTATTATACTATAGGGAGCGAGTCTGTTTGTGAATTTGCCACCCAATCAGGCCTTTTCTCTGATCCTTGCCACCGATGCTAAGCTTTCTAATGCCACATTTCGAGACGCGTAAGTGAAAAATCTCAAAAGCTTTTCATTGAAACACGTTTGTTAAACAGATGTTTCTTACTTTCTTCTTTATATGTATATGTTGGTGCAGTCAACTTTGTAGGCGTGGAACACTTGATCCTAGAAAAGTACATGGAAAAATAGTGTCATGTGTTCGAGAAGGAAAAATAAAATCAGTCGGTGAGGGTCAGGAGGCTCTATCTGCAGGCGCCAAGGGAATGATTTTGGACAATCAACAACAAAGTGGGAATACACTTCTTGCTGAGCCTCATGTTTTGTCCACTGTCAACAGGCCCAAAAAACATGGAAAGACAAAGCCCGGTCTTTCTGACCTAACTGCCACGTAATTTTATACACTTCTCGCACACCACTTGTTAGAAATCCTTTTAACCTTTCCAAATGACACACTTCAAAAGTTTTTATGTACACCATTTGTTTTGTAGGGACTCTATAAGCTTAGGTTCTACAATAAAAATGTCCCCAGCAAGAACATTGTTTGGAAGAGAGCCAGCTCCAATTATGGCTTCATTCTCATCTAGAGGACCCAATAAGATTCAACCATCAATACTAAAGGTGGTGCTCATAATTAGAATTGGATTTGTTATATTATATATAAACTGTATTACGCTATATATATTATTTTTATGAGACACTTTTTTTGCTTTTGGTTTCAGCCTGATGTCACTGCGCCTGGTGTAAACATACTAGCTGCATATTCACTATTTGCAAGTGCATCGAACTTGATAACAGACACTCGTCGTGGGTTTCCATTCAATGTATTGCAAGGAACTTCCATGTCTTCCCCTCATGTTGCTGGCATCGCTGGACTTCTCAAAACACTTCACCCTAATTGGAGTCCTGCTGCTATAAAATCTGCAATCATGACCACAGGTGCTCTCTCTCACATGATAAATAATTATTTAACTATGATTCACGATTTTTTCTGACAATTAAATTTTTCAGTTTAAGGAAAATGCTAATACAACTTAATTATATGTGATTAAAAATTAACTAGGATATAATAGACAGAAGGTATAACAATTTCTCCGCACATAAAAATTATAATATATAAGCAACCATCCAATCACAAATTATAATATACAGTAAGTTTATTCACTTTAAGCAAACAAAATTATCTCATAATTTATGCCTATCATAATTTTTGGTTAATTGATAATTTATTTATTCTACATTAATAGTGTATAAAAAAAATCTTATATTTAATAGGTTATTATTTTTCTCATTTCTTGTTATACTTAAATTTATTACATGAGTAATATATTTTAATAGGTCATATTTATTGTGTGAGTTCATTCATATTGTATATGCAAGTGTATTTCTTCTCTAGCTAAACTTCTAACTTAAGTACACATATTTTCAGCCACCACACGTGATAACACAAACAAGCCAATAAAGGATGCATTTGATAAAATACGGGCAACTCCCTTCGCTTATGGTTCAGGACATGTTCAACCCGACCTTGCAATAGATCCTGGCCTTGTTTATGACCTAAGCCTTGCTGATTACTTGAACTTCTTATGTGCTTCTGGATATGACCAACAACTCATTTCCACGCTCAATTTCAATAGGATATTCATTTGTTCAGGCTCTTACAAAGTAACAGACTTGAACTACCCTTCAATCACATTGCCAAATCTTGGTTTAAAGTCTGTAACCATTAGTCGCACAGTCACAAATGTTGGGCCATCAAGCACTTACATTGCAAATATTACCCATGTGGTTGGATATAACATCACCGTTGTGCCAAATTCCTTGAGTTTTAAGAAAATTGGTGAAAAGAAGACATTTCAGGTTATTGTGCAAGCAAGGAGTGTAACTAAGCGGGGAACCTATCAATTCGGAGAATTACGGTGGACAGATGGAAAACATATTGTAAAGAGTCCTATTACTGTTAGGCGCAAATGAAAAATTCCCAATGGTGTTGGTATTGTTAGGATTTTAATCGTATATCACCATTTTATGGATGAATGCATATTTAGATGTAAGTTTGACTTTAGCTAGGATCTTGTGTTATGATGTGCATGTTGTTCCTTGGATATTTTATGCCTTAGTTGTTTGGCTATCATTGTATTACATATTTTAGGTACAATAACGGATATATGGGAAAGCCAATTCACATCTCAGGTGTGAATTGGACATGTTTATATATAGCATTATTTGTGTTATTAATCTGATTCTTATATTAACTTACTAATCCTAAAATTGCATTTTAGAAAAATTGTCATTAAAAAAATTGTTTTAAAATTCAAGTTTGGATCTAATTTAATTTCAAAAGTTAGCTCATATAACAAGAGTCGTCCAACAAGTTAATTGGGATTTCCAACACACATTCCTACCATCACTCTCGCAATAAGGAAATAGACATCTCAATTAAGGTCATACATTTGTGGTTAGTCTGATAATGGCCCAAAGTCCAAATAAATCACATAACAACTACCATAATAAACTTGTAACATCATAGAATTTGAGTGTGAGCCTAATTCATGTGTGAATGATAACTCAAGTTTCCCTCTATTTATATAACTACATTACTAGTCAATCTACAATTTTACTTGAACAAATTAGTAGTTTCAAATATTGTACTTGATATATACAATGAACAAAGTAGGTAAGCTTACAACATAAAGAAGGAAGAAGAATGGGATACACAAGAATAAAAAGGAAACTAAATATTTTATTACTCCAATGATTCAGCGTAGTTGTCCTAGTTTGATCATAGGAAATTGGTCAGGCAAAGGTGATTTCCCTGTTATAAGAGCCTTAGATACTTGATCCATGGTTGGTCGAGAACGTGGATTTTCACTTAAGCATGCAAATGCTAACCTTGTAATTAAGATCACCTCCCCATCAATTGGTTTTGTAGGTTGAGGAGGTCGTTGATCTATAACATCAGCTAATAGCAAATCATTAACAATTGGTACCATAGATGGTGACATAAATTGAGAAATGAGATCTCTTGGATGTTTTCCCATAATGATTTCCAAAGCAAGTACTCCAAAACTATAAACATCACATTTCTCATTCACTTCCATTGTTTGGGCCAACTCTGAAAACAAACAATTTTGAAGACATATTATGCATAAAGCAATGTAAGTTTCATTATGAAATCAAGTGTAGTATCTTGAATTATCTAAATTGATCATGTTATTTGCACATAACATGTTTTCACCATATTTTCATTTCACAAACTCTAGCATGAGATTAGTCCAATACATGCTTGGGAGTGGAACCAAACCCTCAAAAAATTCCAAAGTAATAAAGAGTAATGTAAATGAAAAATGATGTGACTATTTTCATTTTTAAATATAAGGGAAAAGGGTCTAACCTGGAGCAGCATACCCAAAGGTGCCTGCAAATTGGGTCCAACTATCTGAACTTGGCTTCAAAAACTTTGCAGTGCCAAAGTCAGAGACATGAGCTTCATATTCAAGATCTAGAAGAACATTCTTACTTGATATATCTCGATGAACAATTGGAGGTGAGCAATCATGATGCAAATAAGAAATAGCATTGGCCACACCTTTAACAACATTAACCCTTTTTTCCCAATCAAATGCACTTGCATGTGTGTCATTGTCCAACATTTGATCTAAGCTGCCCCCCTCCATGAATTCATAAACAAGAAATGAGACCTGTGAATGTGAGCAAAATCCATGCAACTTTATAATGTTTCGGTGCTTGATTTCTGTCAAGGCTTGAATCTCACTTGCAAAAGCCTTTGAACTAAAATCTGACATTTCCTCATCAATCACTGAATGAAGTTTCTTCACAGCAACAACCAAACCTGTAGGCAAGACCACTTTGTAAACATATCCTTGACTTCCTGCTCCAATGAGATATTTATTATCAAAATTCTCTGTAGCTTTAATGATATTTTCAAACATGATTTTCCCATCAAAGCTCCATATGGAAAAGAATACTTCCTTATGTGCTCCTTCGAAACTAGAATGACCTTTTTCCTTTCTTTTACTACCATAAAATATATACATTGAAAGTGCCACCGCACATAACACTAGTATTAGAGTTCCTAAACTAAGCAATACCACTAGGATGACTTTGTTGCTCTTTTGACTATGGTTGGTGGTTGGACAAAGAAGCAAACCTGTGACATTACCACACAAGCCTTTATTATTTCTTAATGATCCAATTGGAGCCTTAAGAAAGGCTTGATTATTTGGAAGGGGCCCTTCTAACTGGTTGTAAGATATGTTGACCGAAATCAAACTTGACATGCCATCAAAACCAGATGGAATACTTCCAGAAAGATCATTATGTGAAAGATTCAACCATTGCAATTGCTTCACCTCTGCAAGTTTTCTTGGTATTGTTCCACTCAATGAATTCCCACTAAAATCAAGAGATTGAAGAGACTGGAATTGGCGAAACTCAAGGGGAATACTTCCATTTATTTTATTATTGCTCAAATTCAATTCTAGTAATTTGGGTAATGATATAACTTGTTCTGGTATTGCACCAGTCAACTCGTTTGCTGCAAGATCCAACACTCGAAGATTCTGCAACAATCCTACTTCAGTGGGAATGTTTCCTGAAAGATGGTTGTTGCTGATCTTGAGTTCAACCAATGACTTTAGCTTACTTATCTCTTTTGGTAGTTTTCCATTCAAGTGATTTGAAGAAAGGTGTAGCCTACCTAGATTAGTTGCCTCAACAAGCTCAATTGGTATACCACCAGAAATATTATTGTTGGACATCATCAAGGTATCGAGATTAGGGCACTTTCCCCAGTTTGGTGAAATGTGACCGTGAAATCTGTTGTCACTTAAATCAATGTATTTCAAATTTGGATATACACCAAAGTCTTGTGCTATATCTCCTTCCAATTGGTTTCCTTCCAGTCTTATTCTAGCAATACTAGAGCAATTCTTTAAGCTTCTTGGCACTGGACCCGTGAAACGGTTGTGATAAGCATTAAAGAAAACCAGTGAGCCAGCAGAGCAAATTTGAGGTGGTAAATGGCCTGTGAAATCATTCTCAGCTAGTAACAAGGAATACCAGTTGGTAATGTTATACAAGCCTTGTGGAATACTATCATTAAGTTTGTTGGTGGACAATTCCAAAATGGTGAGCCTTTGCAAGTTTCCAAATGTGGCAGGAATTGCTCCAGAGAGATTGTTTGCTTGGAGGCTAAGGGCATCCAAATTGATCAAATTTCCTATAGAGGGAGGAATCGACCCGGAAAGATTATTAAAGCTCAAATACAACATGGTGAGCTTTGTCAAGTTTCCAATGGTGGAAGGAATGGATCCGGAAAGGTTATTGATATCAAGTGCAAGTTGCTCTAAATTGGCCAATTTTTCTATGGACTCAGGGATTGAACCAGAAAGTTTATTGGCATCTAGGTAGAGCAAGGTCAAGTTAGACATGTTCCATAAGGAGAATGGGATTGGTCCTGATAGAAGGGAGTTATTTGAAAGGTAAAGTTGGTTTAAATTGCTCATGTTACCTATTGTTTCAGGGATAGTACCAGAGAGAGAGTTTCTTGACAAATCAATAAGCCTAAGGTTTGTCAACATTCCAATTTCCTGAGGAATGGAACCAGAGAGGTTACTACCTGCAATACCTAGATACTCCAACTTGTGCAACTTTCCAATTTGTGGAGGAATGTGGCTAGAAAATGTGTTGCCACCTAAATCTAGAAATGACAGGTTGGACAAGTTTGCTATGGAATTAGGAATCTCTCCACTTAGTTGACACAAGGAAAGATCAAGGCTATGTAAACTCCCTAGTGTCCACATTTCTTGAGGGATGGAACCATGGAAAGAATTTAAAGAAAAATTCAAAACATTTACTTTGGACAAGTTACCGATTTGTGGGGGAATGGTCCCATAAAAGGAGTTTTGGTAGATATTTAGGGTGAGGAGGTTAGGGAAAAAGGAGAAGGTGAGAGTGTGAAGTGTACCTTTAAGTCCAAAATTTGTAAGATCTATGGAGGAGACTGAGTTGGATTTGTCACACTGAATTCCTTTCCATTTGCATGAACTATTACCACTCCATGTTGACAAGAGAGCTTGGCTGGAGGTGTCAAGGCTGTGTTTCCACTTCAACAGAGCATTTGCTTCGCTGTCTTCAGCTGCAGCTTGGGGCCACGAGAATGTTAGAAACACACAGAGAATTAGAACCAACATGGATTTTTGCCTTACAAACGTGCGAACCATGATTTAAGTGTAACAATGTCTTTGAATCAAAATCAAGAATAAGAGGATATGGTGGTGATCATAGCAATTTGGCGTTTATAAATGAAATAACCAAAGTGGTATGCCACATGTGTACACTTAATCCATTTTTTTTTTTAACTTTTGGTCACATTAAGTCTGCCTCCATGATAATAAATAAGCGTTTATATATCAATGAACCTTATTATTTAATGAAACTCTCTCCTATGTTAGTATACTTTGTAGTATTATTAAATATATCTGTATTCGGCAAACTAGGCCTTGTCTCTCGATTCACATTATGGCCTTGAATAAAAATATGCATTACTTTTTTATTTTTCTGGTATATAAATATGCGTTACTGTGTGAAAGGCAAAACAAAAAAAAAAAAAATTGTCAATGGACTGAACTCGAGTCTGAAAAGAATAAGGAGTTGTTATTACTTATTAGAGCTCCGAAGAGAAAGATGAGACCAAGAAACAGAGAAGAGGCAGAAACGAAATAGAAAACCCAAAATGGGACAGGTTTTCTTTCCTTTCGTTTACTTTTATGGTTCAGTTCCTTGGTCTTTATTTTGTAACCATAACAACTACTTAAATTTAATTATTTAATAGACATGTCACACGTGAAACAACAACAATAATTTTAATAGAAAATATATCGGCCATTTTTTTTCTGCTTTTGAAGAATGCCGTGTGTATATAATCATATATAACAAATTCTTTACTTTTATAATGATAAAATGGTTAGTTTGTTCAAAATTTACGCTCAGTAGTTAGTTTAGTATTTTTGTTTGTCTTGCCTATTGGACTCTTCCTCCACTAATGACTACTATTAGCTGTTTTTTTGTACTCATTAGGTTATCCTTTATTCACGTCAAATTTTGATCATAAATAAGTTCTAACCTTTTCAATGGTGAGTGTCTGTATGATGCAGATGTTTGTTAGAAATTGTCTATTTCTGGTTTGGTACCTCTACTCTGTTTTCTAATACATATATATCATTGTGATATAAAAATAATAATTAAAAAAAAACTTTTTATATTACTAATGTAATATAATATGGTTGTTGAATATACAATTCACAATTTTTGTTACGTAATTCTCAGTTGATTTTAGATTATATATAATTATATGAATGTTTCAAAAATATATGTTAACATAATTCAGAATATCGACATAAAATGACATTTTTGGTAGAAGTGTTAAACATCCTTGAATCAAGTGATAAATCACGGATGAGCTGTAATTTTTTTATTTAATAATTAACTATTTATATTTTTCAATACCACTAAACATAAGACAATGCTTCAGCGATGAATTAACTGGTATCAAGAAGACTTAACACAATTAATAAATAGTAAATTAATTAAAAAAATTAAAAATTTAGATAGAGCACATGGTTAGTCAATGACTATTTAGTTAGGTCTGTTTAAGAAAATTTATCAACAACTTATTTATATTTATCTTATTTAATAAGTATTTATAAAAAAAATTGGATAAATTTATAAAATAACTTATAAGTAATTTATAAGATGTTTTAAATTTATTTTGATTAATTACTGTTTAATATAACTTATGTGAGAATTTAATAAAAAATACCAAGCTTGAATGATATCATTGACATAAATAGGTTTTTTTTCTTCATTCTTTCACTAAAAATTAATATATTTTTTTTTCATTATTCCCTCAAAGATTTTCATTTCTCCTTAAAAAAGATTTTGTTCCTCTATATTTTTTTTCTCTTCTCCTCCAATTTTTTTTTCTTTCTCACTCGCAAAATCCACATTACGCTATTATAAAAACAATTGTCACTTTTTTCTCTAAAATAGTACATCTAAAATAATTTTGTTGTTAGGATTTATTCAATAATTTTTTATCATAATTTTATAAAAATATATAGAATTGAATTTTGATATTTAAAATTTAAGGTTCTTAATTTTTATTTTTTAATCATGGTTATATATATATATATATATATATATTGATTTTTCATATTTTATTAATAATTTTATGTTTTCATAAACTAAAGTTAAGTGAATGGTGACTAATATTTTTTATTATTTTTAATATTATTGTGATGTATAATGGCATTTTTAGAAATATTTAGTAAATTTTTATATTTTTATTTAGCTCAAATATATTTTTAATCTTCGTAAAATTAGGAGTTTTGATTTTGATCTTTGCAAAAAAAAATCTTTATTTCTTATCATTCTAAAATTTGTAAACATTTTTTTGGTCCTCATAAAATAAATTATTTTTTGTTTAATATCTATAAAAAAAATTTCCTTAATTTTCATCCTTTAAATTTTAAAGTCACTATTATTTTTTCCCGGTTATTTTAAAATAAATGAATAATTATTATTTTAAGGATCTAAACAAACTTTTAAAAGTGTCAAACATTGACATGCTATCACTAATAATCATATGTAATATCTAAGATGTTAGCTTAATATTTTAATAAACAAAAAACTTGTTAAAATAATCATACAAAAAATAGGAACTAAAGTTGATTGTTTCAATTTTAGAAGGATGAAAAATACAGAAAAAAATTTATAAGAACTGAAATTAAAACTAACTAATTTTGTAGGGATTAAAAATATTTTAAAATCTTTATTTTATTTTCAGTCAAAATGTGATTTGTAATTTTTTAAAATTTTAAAATGAAATAAAATCTTATAAGTACTTAAATAATGATATATTCAAACACCTAAAAATTGTATTAGTGCTTCTTAACATATATATTTAAATATAATAACTTATTTAATTTTAAACACTTGTTATATAAGAATTTATTAAATAAAATCTTGAATAAATTATTTTTTTTAAAACGAATTCTTAGTCTCAAACTATTATTAGAACGGATATTATTGATCTGCGAAGAACTTTTAAATTCAAATTTTTAGCTCCTAGACCATAAGAAAAGAAGGTATGAAAATAAGAAGTAAAAAAAATATTTGCTTCATAGCTATCTATGTTGGTACCAAACTCTAGCTAGCTTCATAAAATCTCCATCGACCAGGCCATAGCAATAAATCCTTATTTTCTTGTAACATTTATGCTTTCAATTTAAAAATAAAAATAAAAATAAAACATTTTTTTTATAACTTTATAAATATTTTAAAGTTCAACTTTTAGTTTCTCATTTTTAAAACGTGAATATTTTGTCTTTTTTATTTTTAACAAAGAGGATGATATGCCAGTCAGAATTTCAACTCTTTCATTCTATCTTCCCAATTCCTCGATCTTCTCCATTTTCTCCGGATAAACTACGTCTCAGCCAAACAACACTTGCGCCAAAGTCGCCAGCTTGTATCCACTGATCTTAATTATGATCACATGTGCTGATGAAATTTTCAAATCTAAACACTTAGAGTGTGTTTGGTTTTCATTTTAGGAGGGGCAAAAATACGATTACTTAGAAGCTTCATCTCATATATTTCTTCTTTTAGTTACTTAAGAATGAATGTTATCAATAACACAAACACACGTTTAAACATGTATTCACCGAAAGTACATCGGAACCTATGCAATATATATGCATGTCTCCCAAGAGTCAAGAGCAAATTAAACAACTCACATGTTGATTAATAAATTTAATGCTTTCATGAAAAGTAGCAAACGGACTCTTGTCCCAGTTCAATTTTTCATTTAATGGGTTTTCAACTTTGTTTCCAAACTCCAAAGGAATTTTAATAAGGACAAAATTTAGATATTCTTTCTTAGATATGATTTATATTATTTTCTAATTAAATTTAAAATTTTATCTCTTAATATATATTTATATTAAATGTAGATTTCATTAATATATATTCTAATTATATTTAGGAAATTATACTTAATTTTTTCCTTTTAATAACTCTTATTTATTGTCAAACACTCAAACATATCTTAATGGAGAGAGTTTTTGTTAACATGACCTTTTGATTTCAAGAATATCTCACTATCAGAAATGTTACGTATAATGATATACAAAAGATATTATCATAAATATAATATATGTACTTATAAGTTATTTTATTCCCAAACAAGCCTTCAAAAGAACTCTCTTTATTCATAAAATTCTTAACTCTTATCCTAATGCTGCCACTTATCTTAAAGTTGAGAATGAGAAACAAAATAAACTTCAAACCAAGAATTCTCAACTTAGAGATATAGTGAAGAAGGAGTGGACTAGTTCTAGTTTAACTTCTTATACTACTTCCTTGAAGGTGCACAAGGGAGGAAGTATTTTTGTGGTCTTAATAAAGCACCCAATTTTTGG